ACCATCTCCATCATCCTGTTCATGCCCCTTTACCGATGTGAGTTACACTGTTTAGTCATTGATTCCATTATTCGAATTGCTACCTGTAGCATGCAGCTTCCATTTTTTCATATTCACTTTTCTTCACTTCTTTTCGTACAAAGATTCGTTAAACTTAAAAAAAATAGTAGACGTTGAATACTAGTGACCAAAGAAGTTGCGCATTTTGTAGTTTTCTTAACAATTAAATCGCCAATAAAATTGTTGAAATTGGTGCAGTGCTTGAGCAATATAGTGGACCGCGGTGGTCATTCTTATGGTAGCGGACCTTTTAAGAAACTTGCATCTTTGTTTCTGTTTTTTTTCAGGCATCGCGGCGGATTTCAACCGGAGTATCGAATCTACGAGCTGAACAAGAGGCTACAACAACGAGCAGACGTAATATTGTGTCCTTACCTCTATTTATTCCATTAGGAAAGCGACAGTCAGTGGTGGGAGGCCTTTGCAACAGATTTTTTTGACGACGATGCTACAATTACGATCACTGTGCGCCTGGAGGACGGTCCGAAGCACTTTAGTAATCATTCTCCGATTCCTTTTAATGCCTTACTTTCTAGATATTGGTCGAACTCTCATTCCACGTTACTTTCGCAGTATATTTGAGAGCGGTTGCAATGAGCTCTACTTCAACTTGCGTCACACTCGAGAGTCCTTTCATAATTCCATATTGACTTTGGAATCAGATTGCGCCAGTATGGTCATGAATATGGCTCGACCTTTTCCTGCCACTGTTTTTGTGGATGCCCAGTTCACTCTGGGATTCACTCTGGACGAGCTTATGCGAATTCGTAGTTGGACTTTTCAAATTCGGTCTCACCGAGAACTGATAGTGCGATCTGTGCTTGGAGTCCAAGTACTTTGCTTCTTATGCTCTATGTTTGTCCTGTCCGCCATGAATGCCTAATTTCATATCTCTGTTTGTTTTTAGGATCCTATGGTGTTCGAACAGATTTCGAAAAATGTCACCAGATCGGGTATTCTAGCCAATACGCTGCATTTCCTCCGTCTCTGTGTGATTCTCGAACCCATGCAAGAGCTGATGTCTCGGCACAAATTTCAGAACCTATCTCCTCGTGATTGCCTTCGCAACATCGTCATGAATCGATGGAAGCGTATGGCAACTATCCCAAATCAACCTACGAAAGCTGGTATAATCATGCATTAATTTACATCTTAATTTTGTTGTCTGAACGAATTGAAAGTTGGCCTCCATTCCTTTGTTGCATCAAAGCTGATAGTAATGACGAACAATGGAACAAGATTTAACATAAACTTGCCCTCGGGGTTAAGAAAGATCGTTGAGTCATTGCTTCCTCATCAGTTAAACAGAATCTGTGGAATTATTCGGTTGTTAACAGCATTTCTGTACTGTTGTGTTTCTTCTCATGCAATAGAGTCCAACCGACAAACAAACAAAAGGCGGAAACGGAAGGGCTCATCTGCCAACTCTGAAACTGGAGGAGGTCGGGCTACGAAACGCAAACAATCGCCTGTGCCTCTACCTCCGCAGAGTTTAGCTCAACCCGGGGTGAGTGCTCCTCTTTTGTAGTCGGATCTCGGTTTATGCTTCTGTAAAAACTTTATAAGCCCACTTGTCGACCATTGGTTGAAGTCTCTAGTCCAAAAATGCTACTTAGATGAATGTGTTCAGTAATGCCTTTATTCTAGTACCTTTCAGAGTTATTGCACCATGATGTGTAGGGCAAAGTAGTTTTGTATGCATTATGTAGGACATACTGATCGTGGGTGAGCCAACGCTAATGGGCGGTGAGTTCGGGGAGGATGATGAGCGAATGATCACACGTTTGGAAAACAGTCAATACGATCCAGCAGCTGCTGCTGCAGCTCTAGCAGCCCAACAACAACAACAACAGTTGAACGCAATGGGTGGAGGGATGCAACCTCAACAGCAGCAACACCATCATCATCCCACCACAACTTCTGGAATGTCACCTTTCAGTCGTCCGCCTTCATTCCCACCTGCTTTTCCTCCTGGTGGTGGAGCGCAGTCCTCTTCACCAATGATGTATGCGCCTGGACTGCCCTACGCACCGCCTGCACCGCAACAGCCACCTTCCTCCTCACCTTCAATGAAGTCACACCAATCGCCGCTTTATGGTCACCCCAATAGCGTGCCACCACAACCACCACCTTCGTCTATACCATACGGTGGGAGCGGTGGAGGAGGCGGTCCTCCAGGTAGCGGTGGTCCGATGATGCCTGCCAGTGTTCCCCCTCCTCATGTTGGTGCTAGTGGCGGTCGAATCATGTCTCCGATGGGCCCTGTTGGTATGGGCAACCCCTCTACGCCTCTTGGATCGGGTGGGCCGAATTTAAGTATGTCTTCCTTCTTTATTGTCGTGCCTTGATACTGAGGGATTTCCAGATGTGATCATAATCAGTCTCTATATGTATAAACAATTTTAGCTTGGGAAGAAGAATTTTCATCGAAGCAGGAGAAGAAGCGGTTAATTGCGGGACGAAAGTCAGTGGGCTGTGCAATCTTTTGCACATCTTTTTAGCAGTATTTATACGTTGTCCGGGTTGTTTGCGCTTTTGGTAAACCGTTGGACTCCAAAGTATTTTAAGTAAACGCGACGAATGCAAACATTTATGTTTCATTTCTACGACGAATATGGCATTATTTTTTTCGTCTCCAGGCAACGCATCCATGATGTTTGCCCCTCCGCCAAGCTTAGCAGACTCTGAGCCTGGGGGTGTTGTCGGAAGTGGTGGTGGAATGGGTCAACAGCCTCCTCGTTCCAGCAGTGCATCATCTCTAAACACCACTGGCCTTCCACCTGCCTTCCCTCCACCCCCCGAAGGCGTTACTCCTCCCCCAAATCTGCAACAGCAGCAACAGCAAAACGGTCCAGTTACCTTCCAGGCCCAAAAGAGCCCCACTCTTAGCAGTCCTGGTGTCTCTGTCACCGGTTCCCTTCAGTTCCCTCCTCCGTTGACCTCCCATTTCGATTCCACAGCTGTCAGTAGCGGAGGTAGAGCTCCTACCCCTAGACTACAGCCTGCCAGTGTTTCGGGGCAACAGCTATCTGATGGTAGGCATATACACTTTAGTGAAGTTTCTAATTTATTGTCAACATTCTAGGTTCTGGTCCGGGATCGATAGGTCGGTCAGACACACCTAATCCGAACGGTTTCTCAGGCAACGTGCCATCATTATTGAGTGAGACTGTTCCTGCATCTACCGCTTCTTCAAGCACTACCTCCTCCTCATGTGTCTCCATAGTTCCAAACACTCTCTCCGCCTCCTCCCACCCAGCTCCCAATGGATCTGGAGTAGTTATGCCTGCACCCTCCTCATGTCAAGGTCAGTAGCCGTCTTGATCTTCTTTCGCAATCCGGCTTAGGGTAGAGCATACTTCCCTTTCTCTTGAATTCACATCCACTCTCCCTGTTCTCAAAAGGTGGTGCTGGTGGGGATGCCTCGGTCTCAACAGTGCCGGTTCAGTAGATCCTGTGGGGATGGGCGCCGCACCATTCTCGGTCCTCTCCCTTATTGTGCCACTTTTTGGTACGAATTGTGTGCGTGCGTGCGTGCCCGTACTACCTCTTCCCACCTTCCCGCCTACCTATCTGAGCTTGCTTCGCCCTCTTTCATTTTTGCTTTCTGCGCTAGTCCAGGTGCTGCTGCTACTTCTGCTCGGTATGAACTCGTCTGGCTTGGATTCATTTATCCCCTTTTTGGTTTGTGTGTGGCTGGGTGCTAATCACTGCGGCTGTGCTTTAGTTTTTGGCGCCAAATCCATATTTTAGCTGCTCTTTTGACTCGATATTGCGTTTAAGCAGATCACATCATCAGTGAGGGATCCTCTTTTTTTCATAGTCGGAGCAAGCTCTTTGCTCTTGGCAAGTTCTTTGGTTTGTGCTAGGTCCAAAATTCTCATTACTCTCTCTCCAATACTAGGTTCATTCACAAATGGGGTGCGTTTCCAGAGCTGCCCAAGTGAGATGTAAATTCACAGTGAGAGTGCTTTTTACATTGTCCGTTTGTGTACCGTTGTTGGTCAAACTCCTGTGGCCATAAATTTAACCGCTTAGCAGTTCATTATGTTGCGTTGTTCTCCCCTGTATGTGCATGTATGGAAACACCATCAACTTTGTTTGTGCTTCTTATTCACCTCTGTCATCTCCAGGTTGTAATTCGCTCCAACTAACTTTTTTTGCTTTGTAAAACATGTCAATTTCACGACCTCCATGTTCACTTGACACGACATCGCACGATCTCTCTTGTTTCACCGATCTTCTATTTCGTCGCCGCTCTTGCCATTGACTTTGATGCAAGCTCGGTAGTGACTTCCACGCAGACAGCAAGAGAGTTGTGCAGTTTCATACCAATATTTTGTTTTCAGTGGTTTTTCAACTGAGATTTCATCGTATCAAGAGTTGGCTCTTTTCATATGTCTCGTTGAGCTGATTTTGCGGTATTCGACACAGTGTCATGTATTACAGCAGCTGAATCTCAAGCTCTCTTTTCAGCGTCAGTAAATCGCCCATTGTCTTTGCCCCGAAGGTGTGTGTGTGCCTGTGTATTCACGGTGTATAATTGCATGTGCGTATTCGGTGATACGCACACGCATGGCAGAGGTTAGTCACACACACCTCCACTCCCGATGACCAAACACTTTCTTAAATGGTGCGTCACCCACACTGTTTGCTGCCCTGTCCATTTCTATGCTTGTGAACACGTGTCGACAAAATGGTATTTATACAAACCTTTGTGCTGCTCTCCCTTCCCTAACCGTGGCAACATTTTGCCGCTCTACACCTTGATCTATTCTACTAATTCTTATTTGGGGTGATTTCGAGGCATTCAGTTTTATTTGCAAAGATCGATTATCCTGTTTATCAAAGTATATTTATTTGTACGACGTTTGATGGGGAGTGACCTCCCATACCTTTGGATACCTGATCCTGAATCTCGTCTATTTCGGCTCATCTCTCATTGCTTCTTTTGGCTGGAACTGTGATCACTGTCAGCAGAGAAAGGTCGCATTCTTTGCACGAAGGCATGAGTCTGGGAGCATATTCGAACGCGCAACGGATTGGCTTTAATTTAGGATGCTCGTACCATGTTCTGTCAACGCTTTGCACGTTCTCTGTTCTACTCCATTCATAGAAATGGATCACGCATATGTTCTCGTCTCACAACAACAGCAACCACCGCCGCCACTACCACCACCACCGCCAACAACCAATGACTCGATTGCGAAGTTCTCCGCCCTCCCTGAAGATTTTGACGGTTCAGCACCGCCCAAACTCCTTCCCAACCATGAGTCCGGCGATCACATGGACCAGAATCACCCCCTTTCAGCGTCTACTTCCTCGGAAGTGGGAGGAAAGTTCTCTGATCCAACGATGGAAGCTGGAGGTAGTGGTGGTGGGGGTGGTGGAGGTAGTGGAGGCAACATAGCAGGTTCTGCAGCCACTGTCATGACGACGGACTCGTGATTCACACTCTCTTTCGCCTTTTGAATTTTCCCTCTGTACAGCCTGACAATCATTGTGTGGTTTCACGTCGCCCTTGTCCCATTTCCTTTGTTTTTTTTTTCTCCACTCCTTTCGTTCTCGCTCTTCTCTCTCTCTCTCTTCCCTCGCACAGTCATCCGCTCTGTAATCTCGTCCTTCCTTCTGCTGATATTCACCCTTCCCTACAGCTCCAACGCATACGACGCGACGTGACCGCTGAGACGCACTCTCTTATCGTCGTTTATGTACAGATAATGACCACGGTTTTGCCGATGTCAAGCAAAATGAAAAGTAATGCATGTGGACTTTATATCTACTTGATCCCTCCTTCTCTTGTATGCGTGACAGGACAAGTTGGCAGACCTGCCGGCATGAGGTTCGAAGATCCAAGTAGCCATTCAATCTCATTTGTAGAACATTTGGTACCAGCAACTTGAAGTTGGGGAAGGAGCGTCCGAAGTACTGTTTGGTGTAGCAGAATAAGTGCCATATTTCATAAAAAGGCACAATTTCTGGTAGGTTGTAATTCAATTATCCCAGTGCATTGAGTTGGTTGTTTGGTTTGATTGAGTAATCGCTACTGTATAAGTGATGGGAAAGGAAGGTGTCACTCTTTCGATCATAAATCGTTTCATGTCTCCGAGGGTGACATGTAGTCACAGCTGCCAGACCCGTGCCCACTTTCCACTTGTGCATCTTGCTTTGTACGTGAGTGTACAATTGCTCAATTCCGTGAAAATGGAGATTAGAGTGATAAGACCATGGAGGCTGAGCGGTACACTTCCTGGGAAGCAGTGCCTAAAAGTCCAAATATTGGGGATCAGGTTGAAGGGATTTCGAAGTTTATCTTACCCATATGAGTTGATTTGATACGGATTACATGGGAAGTGAATTGTTTGTGGTTAAAAGTGAGTTAGTAGTTGGTTTTGCGAGCATTGATGATCTTTCCAGCTTATTTTTGTCACTTATAAGTGAGCGACGTTGCTTTGATCTCGGAATTTTCTAGATGTCAATTGAGCGATCGGAGGTGTCTTGATACCTAATTAATTATTCTCACGTTGCCTTTGGAGCTGTTTGTCTGCGAAGTCAAGGCAAGATGTCTCTAGCGACTTTGTGCAAGGGCATATATGAAGAAGACAATGATCCTTTCTCGAGCTACGGTAGACTGTAAATGTCAATTCATTATTGTTGCACGCAAATGTTGGTTCTTAAGATACTTAGGTAAGTGGAAGCAGTCAACAATGTGGACATCACTTTCTATCTACTTGATCTGCTTAACACAATCCTTGCAGGTGGAGGGTGTAATTTCATCCAAGAATTGTTTGTTTTCCCAAGCCGCATAAATCATAAATTTGTCCATTGTAAATGAACGGTTTAGAAGGCGTTATCCATAAAATTGTAAAGTAGCAAGATACAATTTTTACATTATGTGTTATAATAAGAAAGTGCACAAAAATAAGGATCATATAAGAAGTAAATATCAAAAGCATTAAAAGCTTCAGAACTAACCAATAATCTTCAAATAAAATATAGCAGTGCACTGTATCGATGGCCTAAATATAATAAGTAATGCGGTAACATGAATGCAACTAAGAGGTAATGCAGTTACAAATTTTACAGATTAACTTGCCGTCACTGACAATCAAAAATTCACAATGGGGAGCTAAAAAGGAAACCAGACTTTTTAGTTCCATGGCCGTTCATTGGTTAAGTCTCCTATCCCAAAAAGAAACAACTTAATGGTATCGTAAATGAGGTTGAACCAAAAACAAGAAATGTGTATGTCGTCTTATCATTTGAGGCAGAGCTGATTGACACCAGAGAAGGACGACCTTGAAGGCATCATAATGCCACTCGTTGGCGTTGCGGTAGAAATGCAAATTTAGTGAATAAAAAGTGAAAAATAAAAATCTTTATAAAATCATCACTGCATCTAGAGGAGTATAAGGAAGCTGTAAAACGCACATCCTAGTGATAAATTTTCCAAGTGAAGAAAGCGGAAGCATAGGACTTAAGACTCACGGCAACAGTAAAAAGATTGATGCACATGCATAACCGAGGTAACTAGTAGAGCATTTGGTCCAGAGCATGAATTTAAATTAAAGGTGTAGACCGATGCTGAAAAATAATGTTACGGAAAGAATGGGAAGTGGGATGGAGGTAAGCCGAATAGGAGATATCAACCGAGGAGAGACTCCTCATCGTCCTTGTGCCCATGATTCGCGTTCCCAATTGATTACCGCCTCTCTCCTATAAACGTCAGCTTAAACAAACTAGTATATATTACACTGAATATATGCATTTTTGGGAGAAAAGTAGTCAAGGCAGATCTTGCCCTGAAGCCCATTTCATTTGTGCAAGGGCTCGATGAATGACATAGTAACCGTCAGACATTTTACAACCTCATAGATAAGGTGTTACAGTAAGGATCGTAAGTTTGGTGAGGATGAGTAGTATTCCATGTTGCAGGGCTCGGATCAGAATGGGGAATGGCATTAAAGCAATTAGACACTGGTAGTTTTAGGGCCTTTCAGTCTACGCTCAGACTCCTACACCGACAGTCTCATTAGAGTATTATCTGGAGAGTGTTTGTTAAGCATCATTTGCAGAAGAGAAGTGTGTATGTGTCTAAGCAAGATGGCGAACAGCATTATTTTACAGCGAGATGATCGCATTATTCAAGGACGAGATTTGTCTCTCCCCCACATATTTTAGTACTGAGTAATTTACCGTGATTTTTTTCAAATCTGTATGACTGATAGTAGCCTTGGTTTTCGTAGTGCCCCTGGCTCAATGGGCTGCGTTTCGAGCCAACCCATGGACACATAAATCTTCCTTTTCGCTCTTCGTGCAGGTATTAATCAATGTCTAATGCCTTATACTGCCAGCCTTAAATTCTTTGAGTGCTACAGTAGGTAAAAACAATGAATTTACTCTAAGATCACTTGCAATAATATTAAGAAACAAGTAGGACCTAAAGTGATTAAATGAGGCGATGTGGTCCGTCGGAAGCATGTGCACTACCTTGTTGATTCAATTACCGGCATGACTGAGGGTGACTCTTGCGTGCGTTGGCCTTTGTGCCACCTCACAGGCCCACATCCTCTCCTTCTCTCGCCTAACGCGAAACCTCGGAACGTGGGGCTCACCATGCCATGACAGTTGGCCTGCCTTTATCAAATGCGCTCAATCGAGTGGTTTTGTTGATTCTGTCACGTGTACAATCCTCGCGGACGCCCACAAACATTAATCTTAAACCTTTTTGTCGAGTTGTGATTCTGTATAGG